GCCCTTATGATCAAGTTGCCAATTCCCACGTTTAAAGAGCAACTTCGTATTAAGGACAACTTAGAAATCTCGCAAAAATGACAAGAACTAAAAGTGATAAACACACAGAACGTTTTTTTTTTTGGGGAAGACATTTGAAGACGTTTGAAAGCCTGAATGTTTTGAGTTTATTTAACATATATTTGACCCTGCTGTGCAAGCAGGCCAACTAATGAATCTTCTGTTGCCAAAATACAAAGTGTTCAGAATAAGGGGCCCCAGTTTGAGTCCTTTACTCCACACGTGTTCAGTGGCCATACACTGTCACAGGACCTGAGGCGGTGAAGAACACACTGAATCTTAATCTTGAACTCGAGAATTTTAAGAGCGTTCTTTTACGTAGATCGAGCGCATAGAGCAATTAGATGTCTGCATATTCAGGTTGCAGACATTGCAAGTTTGAAGCAGAACAATCCTTCAACAATAGCGGTGATGTGAGGAATAAAATGGTAAAAATAAAAAACACACACAGCACAAAAGCCTGGAGCCTCGTGATGACGAGTAGAAATGCACAACAACCCTCTGACTTCCAGAGCTCTTAAGGTGGTATACTGCAGTTCAGTTTGTGTAGAAAATAAAGAAGCTGACGACGCCATAAACTCTCTACTTTCACGACACTCTGGTGACCTAGCCTCGCTCTCTTGGATGTCTTTGATATGTTGTCTTCTATGAAGCGGAGGTGGCCTCCCTTACTCAGAACCACCACCCGGGGGAAATCCAGTCCACAACACAGGAAAAAGGGAGTAATGATGAAAGAGAGGAAGAGGGAAGATGACAGGAATGAGGTGGGAAACCAAAGGGGGCCGATGCTGATGGACGAGCTGTAATGTTGTCTGTCCTCCAGTCCCCCTCAGACAGTGGCTCCAGGATTTTGCTGCAGCATTTTGTGATTGGAAAATGTATGACTTTTGCAGGGCATTTCCTAAAATGTTGTGCTAAAAGAGGTGATAATTGTAACTAGTGTAAAAGCAGACAAATCTAATAGATATTAAATTGTAAAAACAATATCAATTATTTTACCAATCGTCAGCAAATTACAATAATGTATAAACTCAAAATGCAGAAAATCTTTTATAGTTTTTCACATCATTTTGTGATAAATAAAGTGCTTAAAATAATGTATATATATATATTATATAAAATAAACTTAAACCTAGTTTTTGTATACTGCTTATATGGATTTAATATATTTAAGTTAACTTTTTCCATACATTAAATTATGCATTTTCAAACATTTTAAATCTCCTTTTAGCTGAATAACAATCCATATTAATATGACTTTTTATTATGATCTCTCTCATACACAGATTCTCTGTGTCAAGTCATTATATTCTCAGTTAGTGATAACCATATCGCACCATCTGTAAACGGCTGCTTTCGGCTTCTGGACAATGTGATGTGGTGCAGCACGGTCACTTCTAGGAAGCCCACAGGAAGAGCCAGTAACAGTCTTAGGGAGAAGACAAACTTGGGAACCGATACTCCCGATGCTACTGTGAAAGCTATTAGCAGCTAAGGTCAATCAGTATCCAGGTACCTGGTTAGTCTGTCAGACACATCACGCTGCTGGAAAAACATGCAACCGTGAGCGCACACGGTATTTAGCAGTTAATCATACAGAAAGACACACAGGACCTAAAAGAACGCTTTAGATCTCCTCAGGACTAGCTGTAAATTCTGTCAGTTCTCCATAACTTTCCAAGGCAACGGAATTGTCAGAATTCGTGAAGGAACGGATCGGCTAAGCGGCCAACCCGGGGAAGACTGATGGAGTAGATCTGGAGGACAAGACAGTCATGGCAGTCATACAGGTGTAGTCCAGACAGACTGTCAAAGAAATGGTATTTATGTCTCCGGGTGGAAGCGGGTCAAAGATGAACTCTGCACATGAAGCGCCCCCTAACTGTTAAACACTGATGGACTAATGCAGAGCACTGAGCATTTAAATAAGGTTTTGATAAAGTATAGAAATGCCCATCCATCCACCACCCAAATCACACTGCACCGTACCAACCCCCCTGAACCTTCCTGCAGGTGGTGAGTCCACTGGAAGGTACCAACCGCCCTGACCGGGATTTGAACTTGCCCAGGAGGTGAACCCTGGGGTTCCACACCAATGACAGAGACATTGCCTCTGGGCCAAAGTGTGTATAGAAATATAAAAAATATAAGTATAGAAATGTATAAATAAAAAACCTTCCTAAACCTTCTTCAACATCATTTTATAAAAATCTGCCAGCTACTGAATAACAAGCTCTAAATTAGGGAAAAATACACACATTTTTGGCTGGTTAAAAGTGCATTTCTTTCTTCAGTATTTCCACACCAACAACATCAGCGTGGAACAATGATCTAACACCACTTCAACTACTCGAACTGGGGATGGTTTCTGAACAATCGTTGATTGTAAACAAGGATGACTTTACCCTGAAAACCATGGCTCAGACCAATATATATACATACACAGCCCTTTGTTAGCCTCTGCAGACAAAGGAGTAGCTGTTATTTAGCTATTAACCAATAATGTTGTCCGTTCCAGCAGGACTACCTGAAGGGACGTGACGGGAGCACAAGCAGCTGGCCATCTACTCATTTACCCAGCCAGCAGCAATGCAGGGGCTGATGTGGAGCCTGTACATTGTGTTTTGCCTCTCCCTCTGGGAGGAAAGTTACTGCAGGAGTTCCAGGGACGCCCGGAGGACCAAAGAGCTTTTTCAGCACAGGAGTAAAAGAGCTGCCCAGGATACTGACGCAAAGAAGTGTTCCTACACTTTTCTGGTTCCCGAGCAGAGGATAACAGGTTGGTTTTAAAACAGCTGGTTTTAGTTTCCATTAATTTATTTGGACATTTGTTTTTCCTAGTATAATCTGTAATCATTCGACCATACATCAACAGGTCCAATCTGTGCCAGCACCACCGGCCCAGAACCGGACAAGGACAGAGTGACCCGAATGGATATTTCTGGGGTCCGAGAAGTGCTGAACAAACAGCGCCGTGAGATTGAAACGCTGCAGCTGGTGGTGGACGTGGATGGTAACCTGGTGAATGAGATGAAGCTGCTGCGGAAAGAGAGCAGGAACATGAACTCCAGGGTCACCCAACTGTATATGCAGCTGCTGCATGAGATCATCCGAAAAAGAGACAACTCGCTGGAGCTGGCGCAGCTGGAGAACCGTGTCCTCAACGTGACCTCGGAGATGATGCGTTTGGCTTCTCGGTACAAGGAGCTGGAGTCTCGGTTTGCCCTGATGGCCTCGGTGGTGAACAACCAATCTCTTCTGATTTCGGAATTGGAAGACCAGTGTCTACGGACACTGGGGCGCAGTGAGTTGCCCGTGGTGCCTCCCTTGGTGCAGGTGGTGCCGCAAAATATACCAGTAAACAATCGTTTCACCAATGAGATCCAGAGGGACAGCAAGAGGTCGTTCGGCCGGGGATCGAGAATGAACTCTCCTACAACGAGCCCTTTTGGAGTAAACCCTCCTCCACCACAGGGAACACTTACCTCAGAAGGTACGCAGCTAAAAAACAACAAATACTGTCCAAATTACCTGCAAATTCAATCCTGAAATTATACACATTGAATGTCTAGCTAGCAAGTTGTCCCCCATGTACCGAATCTTCCTCGCAACAACTGCATCATTTATAATGACAATCCCACATCCGATCTCTGTGACCACAGGTCCCTTCAGGGACTGTTTCCAAGTGCACCAGGCGGGCCACACCACTAGTGGGATGTACCTCCTCAAGACTGACAGCAGCGATCGGCTGGTCCAGGCCTGGTGTGAGCACGGCCTCGACAACGGAGGGTGGACGGTGTTACAGAGGAGGAGAGATGGCTCTGTCAACTTCTTTCGGAACTGGGAGAACTACAAGGTATCCATCTGTCCATCTGTCCTTCTGTCACCTGGCCTATTATGGGATGGCTACACTGTCGTCATGTTTGAATCTTGGGTTAGATGTACCGTGGTAATGAAAAAACTGAGAAAAAAATTAGGAGAAAGGAGAGATTAAATGTGTTTTTTTAAACTCTAGGGAGGCTAAAGGAGATCCTTTAAAAATATTTTTTCGGTAAATTTGACTCTTATTAAAAAATATTACTGTCTATATTCACCTTGAGACAAAGCAGACAAAGTTTTGGAAGAGAAACGTGTTTTGAAACCAGTTTTGCTCACTGACGATGAAATCACAAAAGAAGGAGCCTACCGATAAACACACGCAATCAGTGAAGAAAAAACTCCAAAAAAACCACACACACAGTTTGGCTCTTGGCTGCCCTGAGTTTTGGTTTCATCCCTCTTCTCTCCAAGTCTCTAAAATTAAAAAATATCCAGGAGCTAAACCAAGCCAGCAGTGGAGAACAGGATACACCGAACACACAACTTTTTTCCTCTTCGCCTTCACTTTTCGTATTCCTTTTCAACTCCGGGGCCACTCGCTCTGCATTTAAAACCAACTCGCATCAAGCTGCAAACCACAATTTACAACTGTGACACATTATTGTCTGAAATAGGAAGCAGATTAAACTTCCTTTCAGTGGGTTGCGGAGCAGCCACACTTCTCTAAAGCCAACACTCGAAGGACTTGTTAACTTGTTTTAATTTGCCATTGGTGGACTATAATTTAATTGAGCATAGAATAACACCACCTCTTCTGTCAACAGCCGTCTCACTGCAGTAAAGACGAGTTCATATTACTATATTGTTTTTGTTGCCTGACCCAAATCCCGTTAATATTTTAGCTGCATTTCATACCTGCTCGTCCTCTTACAGAGAGGGTTTGGGAACATAGATGGCGAACACTGGCTCGGACTGGATAACATCTACAGCCTGGGAAAACAGGGCGACTACAAGTTGATGATCGAGCTGGAGGACTGGACGGGGAAGAAGGTGTACGCAGAATACAGCAGCTTCCGCCTGGAGTCCGAAAGCGACGGCTACAGGCTGAGGCTCGGTACCTACCAGGGCAACGCTGGGGACTCCTTCAGCAGCCACAACGGCAAACAGTTCACCACACTCGATCGAGACAAGGACGTCTTTTCTGGTAAGCTGTAACTGTATTTTTTTTTTTTTCTGACAAAACCTTTGTCCAATGTTTTCCAATGTCGTTTCCCTCTTCCTTAGGCAACTGTGCTCACTTCCACAAGGGCGGCTGGTGGTATAACGCCTGTGGGCAGACCAACCTGAACGGCGTATGGTACAGTGGAGGAGTTTACCGCAGCAAGTTTCAAGACGGAATTTTTTGGGCAGACTACGGAGGAGGCTTCTACTCCCTCAAGTCGGTGTGCCTCATGATCCGACCAATAGAGTGAAACCTCACGAGGCGCCGCCATCTCCGTCGCTATCTTTTATTTACCCTTACGAAGACTCTGTGAAAGCACAACACGGAAACCCTGCCGATGTGCATTTTAAAAGAGGAAGATTTAATAGCTGGAAGTCGACGACTCTCGACAAGACTGGGGAAAAAAACAACAAAAAAACGACCGACGCCTGTTCTCTTCACTTCGCTTTCACTGAATGTTTCATTGAACTCTCCGAAACCACGATGTATTCATATCTACACTGTTTGCCTACTCACTGATAGTGTAATGTACATTTTTCTATTTACTCAATAGAACAAAAACGCACCAAAGCAGCGAGACAGTTCGATGTGCCGGGGTTCAATATAGTTCTCAAACTCTTGGACCCTCCTGAACCTGTTGGCTTGTATTGAAAACCCATACATAAATCCATCTTATCCAAAAGAGCTGTTTAGGTCGCAGACAGCTGAGCTGGCTCCAGTATGTAAATATCTTGGCTTTGTATGATTAAATTAATTTAAGAGGTGTGATTCTACTCAGGCCAAATGTTCACAACTGACAGTCTTTGTTATTTATCATCGTATTTATGTTAAGTAACACACAGCCACGGCCTTTTTTATATATATGTAGTACTTAACAATAGAATTATGTTTTAGTTCCATTGTGTGTCTGTGCAGGAGCGGGTACGTAAGTGGAAATCAAAACACACACGGATCAATAAACATGTTCAGGTGAACGGATAAAGAACGCGAGACGCTGAAAGTCAATAAATAATTCATGTCTCTTTTAAACAACCGTCTCCGCTCTTGTGTACAGGAAGGTCGTGGCAACCGTAAACCTGACATGAACTGTGAAATAAATACGACCTGGTTAATGCGTATTCTCCACAACCCAATTGTACAGCACAAGTAAAAAAAGGTTTCCACACTGAAATCTTCACTGAAAAATCAAAATACTTTAGGGAAATGTCTTGTTTCAAAGACGCCACGAAAACCCAACGAATGACAGAGGAGATAAGGATGGAGGGTAAATGAACAATAGTGCTCTCAAAAGAACAGGAACAGGCTCATGATTATACTTTATACACTCCACACTGAGGATTTATGGTACTTCATCCTTTAGGGAAGGAAAATGAACAGCTTGTCAAATAGCTGAAATCGCTCCCCCAACCATCTTTTTCACATCAGTTTGGGAACTGTGTCAAATCCTCTCTGGCTTCGCCGTACTACTATTTCAACAATCGAGTCACACCCAGTTCGCGCTCCGCCGAGCCAGCTGGGTTTTCGACTTCATCTTCCTTGCCGTCTTTTGCTAAACAAACAGGAGCTCGCTTGTATCGTGGGTTTTTTTTTTGGGTTCTTACTTTTTAAAAAAAAGGTTAATTATATACACAGATCTTTTTCTACTCACGCCACGTGGCGAGGTTTGACGAGGTGAAAGGCTATGAGTCCAGGCAATGTTTTAAAGTGTGTGTGTGTGTGTGTGTGTTCTGTCACAGTGCAGCCATACGTTTCTGTGGGCTCTTTGTCCCCCGCTTGATTAACTGGAGAACAGAAACGAGTTCATCGAAGAGTTTAAAGACGCTGCCCTGCGGTGAGCACAGACAGGTGGGTCACTGTGTCAGCGAAGCTGCATTAACAGAGGTCAGAGGTCAGCCGTGGTACCACGCATGCACACATAACAGCACAACTGTATCATTGTGCCGGAGTCCGAAACAAACATACGGCTCTCCCTTCACACTTTTTAATAACCGCAGATAAACATCACCCAAGAGGAAAACTAATCCATGGCTTTTTTAAAAAAATATATTTTTCACTCTTTTACTAAGGTTAAAGAGATCCTTATTGAAGCAGAAAGGCTTTTATTCTTGTGACCACTCTTTCTTTGTCTCCCTCTCCCTTTGGAGAATCCACTGGATTTATGGCAGAGGTGAATGTCTGAGAACAAGAGTGGTGATTTCCATCCCCTGTGCCAATTTGGCTAAAAACAGCTTTGAGGACAGCCAGCTGGTCACACATCACTCATCCACACCCATTACAAGCAGAGGCCGTAAAAAAAAAAAAAAAAATTTCAATCGGACAACTCGCGCTCACATATAGAACACGGGAAATAATCGACTTCCCATACATCACAGCAAGGCTAACCAAAGAAGAACCACATACAGCCCGAGTCAGAAAATCTGTGCCGTTACACAGCATTAGTGCTGCATGTTTTTTCAAGGTCCGTCATTAAGTCCAGACTTCCATGTGTATAACCAACAGTAAAAAGAATCACTTAATAATCTATTAAAATATTGAAATTGTTCACTCAGTGACTTCACCTACCTAGGTAGGGTATGCAGGAGACCATGCTCTGGCTGCTTATGAAGTCTCTCAGACGTTTATAGTTGTCTTCTTTTGACATTAGGTAGTCGAGGCGATCGAAGGTTGCCTTGTCCTTCCGACTGAGTAACTGTGAAGACAACGAAAATAATATGTAAGGTAGAGAATCGATAGTGTGAGGCTTGGTAAGAACTGGAAAAAAAGTGAATGTAAAAAATATATATTAAATAAAATAATTAAAAAAATAAAATTATATTTTACTGACAATTTCCTAACTCGGTGCGACGAATGTTTAGTTGGAGATGACGCCGATGTACTCGCAGGAATTGAAGAAAGATGCGTGTGGTGGAAGATTATCTTATGGTTCCGCCTGTTTACTACAGATTTCAAATGTACATTTCTGGAAATGATCGTGCGACGACATCAGAGCTCATACGATCGTACAGTGACAAAAGGGGTAAATAATCTGTGGTGAAAAACAAGTAACAAACCACCACTGAAAAAGAAATCAACGTCACCGCAGTCTGGGATCTAGTTGGACTCATTGCAGCGACAGTTGGAAACCGTTCCCCCCCCCTTTCTTGTCAGCGGGATTAGTTGCAGACAGTGTAAAGGAATGTGTTTTTGTGCAACTGATAATCACTGCACAGAAACACGCAAATACACCATGTTGGGAAATTGAAATGTTAGCACGGTATCTGACATTTTTATGGGATCAGACACAAAGGGGACGGATGTTTCGGTAACATAATTAAACAGGTTTCACGGTTTCATACACTCTTAGGTTTTGCTTAATTTTCTTTATTTTTTAGGACATATATTAATGTATTTCTTTTTATAAGATGCTAGAATGCTTTCAAATGGATTTGTAAAGCATTCTAGCAGTCGACCAATCTTGCTTGGAAAACACAGTAAACACACTCACCGCCCATGTTTTGGTGAGCCTGAAGATGGGGGCACTTTGTAAGGCTGACACCACGGCCATCACCGCGTGGAGGTTGTTCATGTCACACAGTTTCTGCAAGTGCGGAGGATGTATGTTTTATGTTTTAAAAAAGAAGCATAAAGTTGCACGAGTACACCACATCTGCATCAGAACGTGTGTGTGTGTGTGTGTGTGCGTGTGTGTGTGTGTGTGTGCTTGCCGTACCTTGGCTGTACGGATGTAGAGACTCAGCACTTCTGCTCTGATCTTCAGCGTCTGTGCGTGGAGGATCTCTCTTACCACCCAAAAACTCGTCTGCAAAAAAAAACAAAAAAAAAAACAAGCCAAGGAAGAGACATGATGTAAATGTCTGGATACAAAGGAAACTCATGAAACAGAACGGGGTCAACAGACAACTGCAACATGTCTGTGGTCAGTGGAACGGCATGTGATTAAAATCACCGATGAAAAAAAAATTAGACCTCTGGTAGAAGAAGAGGAATTTTGCAGCAAAATGTTTCCAAATGATTATACAACACGCACAAAAAAGTATTTTTCACAATTTATCGACTGAGAAAAGAGGAGGATTAGAGTGTGTGTACGTGTGTGTTCAGTGTACTCGTCCAGACAAGGAGCGAGGTTGGAAACTTGACTCTCTAGGGAGAGTTGCTGGTTAGCCAGCGTTTTGATTACATACAGACACAGACACACACACACCGACACACACATACTGTGTGTCAGTGCATCAATCAGATTTTAAGCTTTGGGAGAGAGGGAGTGGAAAGAGGAAAAGGGAGGTAAATAAGAAAAGATTGAAGGTAACGGGAGGAGGAGTTAGTGTCAACGCCACAAGGCCTGGAGCCAACTGCTAGCTGTCTGCACATTATGTTCTCAAAGTTTCCCACAAAAGCACAGATTACGACTGTCGCATCACGGTTTGAGTGAATACAGAATCGACCGAAATGACCGATAGGACGACCGGCCCCATTCTCAGGGCATCAGAAGATGCTTTCAGGGATGCGTGGAAGTTCAGAGACGTTTGGCGGATTCTCAAGAGGCAATGACCAGGAATGTGGGGAAACCTTCTGATAAAGTAGAAAAAATATGATACAATATGATATGCTAGCTTTGGAACTTCTTAGGTATATGGACTCTTGTTCTGAAAACAATGACGAGCTACAAAGCCGTGACCATGCAGGGGCCGAGAGGCCGAGACAAGCACCCACTCTCACACCCACGCAGATACAGATGCACTGGGGGAAAGGTTCATCGCTCTACCACGGATGTGTGATGTTTTGCGACTGACCCAGAGGACGGTGCTGCAGACTACGGTCCAGAGACTAACTCTCCGGCTCCCTCACATGAACACAAACAGCCTGGCTGAGAGGTCTGATGATCAATGAGCGCAATTAATGCAACTTTTTTTTCTCTCTGTTGACTGACCCACTGATGACTAACAGCTGGGTGCTTTTAAAAAACAGATGAGAAGCGGAGGCTTAGTCATTTGCTCCTCTTCAGTCTCTTTAAAAAAAAACAAAAAAAGAACATACACATGAAACACACATATCAAAGTGATTTCAATCAAGGTTGGGAGTATCCTGCCAGAACAAAGAGTCAGAAGGGCATAATATTTCATATGGAGAAAATAGAGGGAAGACACACAATGGGTCAAACCTGATTTCACAAAGTTTTCAAGCATGAAACTTTTTTCCCCCTAAATAGCTCACTGTAACTTTAAATACACACAATATATAAATATATATAGACAGAAGTCCTTTATTTGTCCCACAATGGACAAATTCACAAGGCTAAACATATATATATAAAATATGTACATATATGTTATCTATTTGTATATATATATAAATATATTTGTATGTACATACTGTATGTCTGTGTATATATATATAGATAAATATATATATATACACATATACATATATACACATATATATACATATAAATGTATGTATATATGTGTGTATATGCATATATACACACAAAAAGATATACATATATGTATATGGATTAATCATGATTAATAATTGATTAATTAATAACTGTCTTTTGCTTTACATGCTGGAACAGAGAGACAAACATAGCGTTATGTGTTGCACACCTGATTTTATGTGTGACTATTCGAAAAGATAATGTAAATAAATGTAATATTAACCATTTTCTAAACGATTGTGAATATCAGTGGCTTAACATCTGAGCGTAAACTATTTCCTCCCTGACGTGTTTGAAGGGCTGAAGAACTGCACCGGGGCTTCTCCACGGGGTCTGCTTCTGCGTCTGTCTCAAAGCTTGGATAACTATGAGCTCACCCGTGACAACCTATACTTAAAACAATGTAAACACAAGGCGGTTGTGCGCTACGTTGAAAGGAGTGGATCTGGAGACGGCAGACAAAAGAGGCCCATCTGTTATAACGCCAAACGACGAGGCCTCGAGAAATGAGTTAAGTCCCCGGTGTTCAAGTGATTATTAATGAACGGCAGGATTTCGATCCAACAACAACTTCGAGGTACGTGCGGTCAACCCAACGGCTTGAGAAGTGGAAGGAGCTCCGGTCAAAGACGAGGTCAAGCGTTGGCCGACGCGCTTGCAGTTGAACTTGCAGTGTGTTTCCTGATTGGAAATTGGCTGTTAACTGTTGGAAAGTGACCCAAAAACACACATCCCTAATGACCAGGAGAAATCACGTTTCGCATCGCTATGCACTTACACGTTACCGGGGAATTAGAATGACACGCAGACGCACAGAAAACATTCAAATGATGACATACAGACTACGTATAACTGTTAGAAGGACCCATCATCACAAATTGTGGCAATTACGATCAATCCCAGAAACGGGTTAAGTATTTAATTATTACCCCGGTGCTTACTGTCATTCTAACTCAGTGTTAAACACATGTGCAGTGTGCCCTGGTGATATAATTGTTGCGTAATAGCTTTCTAAACGGTTCCCTTCACGATCTCGGCCAAACAGACTGTCAAGAATTTTTCTGCTCAACTAGAGTCCGTAACCATCGAGAGTAAGTGAATGAAAAGAAAATATGGCCTCAGCATGCGCTCTGCTGCTGAGCGACTCCTTTCTCTAACCAAGTTAAGTTTTCCTCGTCCAAAAAGGGCTCACTTCTCCTGAATTTCCTCGGGATCTTGTACAGATGCAGAAATTTCCACAGAAACACATTCTCATTCGATTATGTCATATTTACACTGGAAGGCAACAGTGGGGTTTAAAAAAAGAAAAGAAAAAAAAACTGGTAAAACACTGGAAAAAGATAAAAGGACAAGGCTTCCCCTGCACATCAGTACCCACAACTTCCTGTTGATAACATCGTTGGGCACCAGTGGGCATGTCGCATTTGCTCTGGCGGACATTAGGAAATGCAACGCACAGAGACCAAATCCAGTAAAAACAACTAAATCTGGCTTTCTCAGTGCATGTTTGACTTGAGCTAGTTGATGAGGTGTAAGAACGGAGGGGAAATTAATGAGGTGACTAGTTTTTTTTTTTTTTGCCAGGACGAGCAGATTGAAAACGACAATCTCCAGTGGGGGGAGCTAGGGCGATGACTTGCTACCTTGAGAATGAGAAAAGCAGTTGTAGTTTCTCCGTTCTCCTGGACGTCCAGTCATCATAAATCTTTCAGGATTTTTTTTTTTTTGTTCTCTGTCAACTCTGCTCGTGAATGCGAAGTGAGAAAGCGATGATGTGCAGACTGTACAAGTGCCTCACCTGGTTGAACCTGCGTGTGAAGGCTACCACATTTGGAGCGGAGCTGTGTTTCTCCTTCTTGTTCCAGCCGCAGCTTGACAGCTCCTAGAAATCATCACAAAAAAAACACAAAGAAAAAAAACAGCTATTAAACACAAATTGTAGACGCACACGGCACCATTTTTTAAATAATAGTGTGTCCTGCTGCAATTTGCAACACACAATAAGAGAGGATATTAAACAGTGTCAGAAAAACACACAAAGGACTCGAAGGGCGTGATAGATAAATACCATGAAGTCATACAACTGCAGTACAAGCAGGATTGTAGCACTACGTAACCTCAATACATATTTGTATTACTGCAATCCACAGACAAAAAGTATTAGAGTTAATGTTATTTATATAATAATAATATATAATTATAATACATAATATTAAGCTCAAACTCCAATGTTCACTGATTTATGCTCAATGAAAAGAGACCAATGCGATCAATTATCATTTGGTACATTTTTATATCGGAACTTCTAGATCATACGTGTCAAACTCAAGGCCCGGGGGCCAAATGCGGCCCGCCAAGCCATTTTGCGTGGCCCGCGGGAGCTTAAAAAGCATTTCATAAAGTCCATGCAGCAGAGTTTATCAACCTATGAAATTAAACACAGCAATGAACAATATTTGTAGCTTGAATAAATAATAATCAATTGCAGATACATGTTTTAGTCTGTTATGGAGGAGCTACATCTATACCAGACTCTAGTCTGAATGACTTTTATTTTAAAATATTGCAAGATTATTGTCAAATAAAGAAAGTAAATAAAATTTTTTTTGAATGAAGTTAATTCGAATTTTTAATTTTTTCACTGTGTCCCACTGCGGGCTGGTACCAAAGGACCTATGGACTGGTACTGATCCACGAACCGGGGGTTGGGGACCCCTGATCTATAGTGTTCCATTTACAACCGGCCCTTCAACAGGAACTGTATTGCTGATGTGGCCGTTTGACACCCCTGGGCTAGATACTAGAAGCAGCAGGGCCAAAGGTCATTTCTGTTTACCCAATTATAGTGATCCAACAGGCTCTGGAGGTTGCACAGAAGAGCCCATGCATGGTTTTATCAGACCAAACACAGGTTTGTTTTGGACACCGTTCTTTAGTGTTGAGGTAAAAACCGACAAAGAATTTAATAAAAAATATTGTACAAGATCTCTTGCTCGTCTCTGCCAGTCTGGCTGCCTGACGTTGGAAGCCCAAACCTCTCAGTCACCAATAAATCTCATCAGAGGCGGCCAACGAGGTAAAACACGGAATATCAAACACAGATGTTACAAACAGACCCACAGGCGCGGGCGAAGCGATGCGTTTGAGGTCATTTTGCCATAGTCGGAGTGTGGAAAGAGGATGAAGAGAACATGTTAAGGTCGTAAAAATAAGTGTATAAGATCCGACCGCATCTTCCCATAGAGCCTCAGTAGAACCTCCACAGTGTTTGAACACGATGTCCCCGTCATGGGATGTTTTTACAACCACGTGTGGGAGATTCCAGCTCATTTTACCGAGAAGAAAACACGGTTATTTGAAGTTTTTCCTTTTTTAAATAAGCACTGCTTTCCCCGTCTGCCCGTTATTATTTTCTCCGACTAAACAGCTCTGGTAACTTTGGAGTAATTCATAAACAAAAACCTTCCATATTCACTGAAAGACACACTGGTTGTGTTTGACCACCTGACCACCCAGGTAGGTGGTTCACCCCAGGAGAGTCGCAGAGATGACGCCGCGTCTGCTTCAATCAGAAATACCACAACATTTCAACAACCGTCCCTTCTGAGTCAACACAGACAGGACCTCTGTCTGCTCAACTAAACACCGACCCACAGTTGGTTATGTCATTTTCACTGGTCTGAATAGTCTGAGAGTCCCTGTGTGTGTCACGTCCTGCGCAACGCTCACATACTTTACTGCCGCTCCTGATCGTCTCATACGATACCACAGATCCGTCTATTCTTTAGTGGAATTCTGTTAACACATAAATTGGATGTGAGGCTCTATCACATTAGGTGCACATGATGAAAGCATCGTTACTCCTTTGAAGGAGGCTAGCCCTAATTAAACCTCAGCAATACGGTGTGGTTGGGATCAAAAGAGCTGCGTGAGTCCTTCAGAAACAAGATCCTAGCAGCGTACGAGTCCAGCCAGGGATACAGAGAGATCTCAAAAGATTTGATAGATCAGTCTTTCCACTGTCTGGGAACTAAGTCTAGTAATGGGGTTCCAAAACAATATACCACATGGCTGTGTCTGGCTGTCCAAGCATGTTCAACACGAGAGCACACCACAGGGTGGTTAAAAAAAAAAGGAACAAGATGGTACAAGTCTCCAGAAGAGAGCAACGATCAAGATAAACAACAAAGCCAGAGGTGCCGCGGGCGTCAACTGAAACAGGCTGTACATGCAAGTACTTCAAACATTACATGAAAACTTTCCCGACACAGATGGCTACAAAGGGCTATAAATGCAGTTATTTCAGCCAAAGTGGGTAACGCTAATCGAAGGAAGCGTTTCCTAACTTTTTAATCTTTAAAGTCATATACCAGAATTATTAAAATTCAAAATAAACCATATGTCTGACAATGGTAGTCATTTCTTCACACAGCTCTACCTGTCCAACAAACAGCTTCATTTTTGGATACACGAAATAAGAGATGGATTGGAAATCCCCCGAAAACCCCCGGAGAGGAAACCCGGATAAATGTGGTGGACATAAAATGCACTTTTGTCCGAGTCGCACGTCTATTACAACAGACCCAGCAGAGCCGTACGCACAGCAAGAAACGGCCCCCACCACTTAGCTGTGCACACCACAGGGATGATTACTTTTCCAGGAGCTTTTTTACTGCGTGCTCTGAAGGAAATACAGTACGTGCTTTTTGACATTCGGTAAAACACCAGACCGGACGTGATTCTGAGGTGTTTCTCAGGTATTTAAGATGAATCCTATATCGCCTTCTATTATTTAATCTGTTTGTTTTTAAATGGTTTACACTGCAAAAATCAAATGCCAACATGAGAGAAAAAAAAGGACCAGACAGGAACCCTCCTACAGAGATGGGCCAGAGAACATGACGTGTTCCTAACCACGAATAAACATCCTCGGCTCACGTGCCGTTTTCTAACCGGCCCGAGAATTTCTAGGTCCTGGAAGGACAGGAAGTTCCAAAGTTCTTAGCAGAGTGTAAAATCAAACTTGATGGCTGTTCCCTGAGAGCTGGAGAAAAAAAAAAAAAACCTACCAGTCCGGGCCCCCAAATTACTTTCTTGGCTGTTGTCCTGGATGTCTGTAAAAGATAAATACGACCCTCCTCGCTCTTTATGTCCTTTTACATTACTGAGATTGCCCCTTTTTTTTCTTCCTTCAGTCTCTTTTTCACAGATCAGCAGCTGTAAACCATCGTCGACATGATTATGAAATTACAAATGACCGAGTTCAAAAGGAGGAAAAACAATGTCCTGTCATTAATAACCAATGCACTTTTTTTAACCTCGATGATTTTTAGACGTTCTAACCGGTTGCCAGTACAAATCCTGAAGAAACAATGCATCATAAATTAAGAGTAAAGAAAAGACTTCATCCCTTTTCTTTTCTTTGTTTTATGATCCATCGAGTCACTCGGACAGCAACGCACATCAGAGGTCGTCACGGAGTCAAACAATATCACGTACGTGGCTGACCAAAATCTGTTATGTCAATGAGGTAAACAGCGATCTGCTGCCGACAACGGTCAATCAGGTGATTGAGATAAACAACGTCCGTGTAGCATGACGGCGTCTTCCGCAGGATTAAAACCATGTGTTCAGATTCTACATTTGTCTGCAGTCTGACGTTCTGACCTCCGGTCTTTCCGTGAGAGTTGTTCATTTCCAAGCTATTGGTCAGTGTGGGACCTACTGTACTTCTTGACCAGAGGGCCTAAGACCACTGGTCACTGTGACTGACAGTTATCTTCTCTCCCTCGGCTCGTCTCACCACACATCTGCTCCACGTCAGAGTCAAAAAAACAAAAGTCCAGTTTAATGAGATTCTCTGCTCACAGGAGTTGTTGGCTGGGGATATGTGTTCCCAACTCCTATAAAATATGAACACGAACATGACGTTCTCCTGTGACATGCTCACCCACATTTGCAGTCACATTACATAGAGAAAAAAAAACCACTTCCAAGTCACAACGCTGTTACTGGGTTATAAAAATTACACAACTTTTGGATGACCACCGAAGAACAGTGAAACCAAACGCTGAGGTTACACAGACGACTACAGTTGGACCCAACAATCAGAATCCATTTTGTATCGTCGAGAACGCCTGCGCCACAGTTCAGTTAAGTCCAGGGTCAAACGTAGGACTAATTTAATAACGTAAAAATACCTGATGGTGCCATTACTTTTACAGATGTGTAAAGTTTACTACACCACAGATGCTTTTCCTAATTAGTGTTGTAATGAAATACAAGCCATTTTTGAAAAAAAAAAAAAGGGATGTTCCATAGTTTTACTAATAAAAAACATGCAACTGTAGCGGCACGCATATATTTAATCCATACTTCATTCTCACGGCTTTAAAGCACAGCTCTTAAACGTTTCATATTTTACGAAAAAAAATAGCTCGAATCGACCAATAGATCGCAAGAGAGGGCTGGTAGATGATGAGAAATTAAAAAAATTAAATAAGAGACCACCGTAATTCTTTAGTATGTAGTAGTGACCATGTAGTGTAGAATTTAAATGATATTGTACCATAGAGCTACATGTATTTAACCAGTATCTAAATGTATAATGTATTTAGCTAAAGCATGTTCAGTTGGTATGTAATAAATGCAGGTCACCAGCACATGAACATGATCTTCTTTTTCCGTAACGTGTCAGAGACACCGTTAAAAAGTGAAGGCTTGAAACTGCGGAAAAAAAAAATGCCGACGGTGGTTCTCCAACAAAGCACAATGGACGCTAGGAACCTCCTACTAATGCCCTCCGTCCCTGCCAGCGAGCTGCTGCATCACTTTTCTATTGAACACTGCAGATTTGACTCCGTCCTGGCTGGCTGGAGCCCTGCTCTCCACGTCGAACCACCTCTATCAGGCCGCTCACAGAACAAATGCTCTTTTCAAAAGCCTACGCTTGCAGGTTTTTTTTTTTCCTGAATTGTTCTTAAGTTTAATTTCTGGTCCTTCCAGATGGTAAAACATGAAACCACATCCCGAACCGCTTGACATGTACGTCTTCGTCCTGAACTTTTTTTTTTCCAAAATTGTAAGATCGGGCCACAGCGACTTGAAGCTTGAAAAATTATACATTTTTACACAGTTTGATAGCCCTGTGCAACAGCAATACGTTGGATTGGATTGACTATAACCAACAGCTAGTTCAGAGATAATCAAAGAATCGCTGCAAAAAGAATCACTAGGTTTCAAAGAATCGCTGCAAAAAGAATCACTGGCCGAAGGTTATGAAGAAGAGAAGTACTTTTTTTTTAAATTCAGACAGTCAAATCTTCCTAAGTAACCCCCACTGCTTACTCAGACACAACAAACTATAAACATATCTCAGAAAAGGTCATGCAACACTCATGACAATGTCACTTTAATTCAAACCAATCCCGTGTCTGGAAACAATAGCATGCCAGTGGACTGCATGTGTGTGTGGCTTTCAGCTAAGATGAGAAACCTCAAATACAGGCTTCAAATGTCTGATATCACAAGGAGATATTAGACCGCAGTGATTTTCAATCAGGCTAGGGATGAGCTTCGTTACAGAATAATTATTTACGTTTTGAAACAGTTCTGGTTTTCTATCCTCTTACCTCTGGCTGAATAGCTTGAAACACGGGAGCATCCATGAGTGTGATCTGGCCCTGCGGGAAATGAAACCCAGATTGTCAGACTTGTTTTTGAAATTGAAACTGTACTGGAACAAAGTCAATTGTGTCAGTGTTTGTTTCTAAAATAAACACCGTGTTGCAATGGATGCTGTGGTATTTGGGCGCAGAGCATCTCTAAAATTATCTTTTGAAAAAAAAAGTGTCGTTTAGATGGGACAAAAAGGTAAAGGGTGCCCTCTTGTGGTTGAATGGGGTAAACAACAGCCAAGCATTAAGTTGGTTAAGGACGTGAATATTTAAAAATATAATAGTTATTCTAAAGCCAGTTTTGTCCAGAAAATATCTGGTATTTTCTCCTTGAAACCATTAAAAATAAATGTGTGAATGATCAAATTGTTGTGTGAAAAAAAGACAATAACAAATTCAATAGATTATAAGGTTTTTGTTAAAAGTACTGCTATGTGAATGTATGCCTCTTTAAACCCCTGCAACGAGATAGCAACAAATATTTGTCATTTTTTTGTGGTAATTATATTCAGTTGTTTTCATTTTTAAATTAGGAATGAGAGCTTTCCATCTCCAGTTCCAAGATAACATATCAAATGTCATTAAACTTAACCCTTGTGACGTGGGTGTGGCAAGAGTACAATAAAGTTCACATTAACTTCACTTACAGCATATTCTTCAGGAGTGACCTTTAGCACATCGAACACGACTGCATCAAAGCTCTTCTTCAGCTCGGACGAGCCTTTATCGCTGAGAGACTCTGAGCTGCTGCTCCTCTGATGGAAGACACAAGGAGCCCAACACACACATGTAAAACAGTTTTAAAAAGACTATCAGAGCAGATTATAGATTCTATTTTTAGAATTAAAAAAAAAAGTTTTTAAAATGCAAAAATAAAATATTGATACTCTACTTTGTATTCAAAGAAAGCAGTGATATTAATAACAAACATTTTGTAAAAAATATCTATATTTTTAACAAAGACAAATACTGTGACCTACTGTAGATCCTCAGGTATGAACTGCATTAGTTTAAATATTTGGACGTTGGTGCTGTCCTTCACTGTCAAATACATGTTACCGGATACTACAACTATACTTACCAGATACTTTTTGAAACTCCACTTTTGAAAGTGAACAACGAACACAACGAATACAAGTCAAGCCGGCGGACGCGCTCTTACCTCAGAGATGGTTGCAGTGTTCGTGGTGATGCTGGATTGGCCATTTGGGAGGTCCATCATTCCCACACCCTCTAGTTCTAGCACAGCAGATCATTCATCATCCTCAAATGCAGCAAAGTCCACCCAGGCTCCTGAGAGGGAAAAATAATCTTATCAATGAGGGTATTAATGTCTTTGATGAGAAAAAGTCAAATATGACTTGATGAAGTTTATCAATGAGGGTATTAAGAAAAAGTCAAATATGACTTGATGAAGCAGCACCCCCTACTGGATGTAGTTCTAAATCTGGGTTGCCACACTTTTTTTCATCATGGTCTTTTTTCATTGTAATTAATTCATATATCGATTAAAATAATCATCATAAATATCAATAAAAAATATCACCAATGGTTTATAAATTTTGTCGTTGCCGGGTCAAAAGGCTGCTTATTTTAAGGGACAAAATAAAGTACTCATCTGAGAACATGGCTCACAGCTGTGTATTTAACAAAATTAACCTTTCACACATGACCTTTCCCATTACCAGATTCTGTACTTTCCATGTTGTGCTCCAGGATATTCAATCTGTCTGATTTAACTGAGGATTTCGTTTTAATAATGTTTTCCAACATAGGAATTACTGTATTTTTTATATAACTTACATAGAAATATCTTTGTCTGATGTCATATGTGTTAGCTTAGCCCAAATGTAAACATTCTTTCTCTTCCATGTAGCATTCAAATATTAGCTATGCATATACAAGACCAGCTTACACAGCAGCTGGCTAGTTGGGCACACCACATACTTCTTCAAACCCTGACACGACGAAACGTTTTAATTTTGAATTTCCTTTTTTTTTAAAATTTCCTTTAAAAGTATCTTGAAAAAAAGAAGTAAAGACTGCAATTCAGAGGTTTGGAGAAGTCACGCGTTGCTAAATCTGTAGTTGGTGATATGGCTTAACAAAACAAGAGGAAGTCTTTAAAAACATTTTGAAATTGTATGTATGTATATGTGACATTTTCATCCCCAACTGTATGTGTTGAGACCACTGTATTGTTGCAATCTCCGAGTAGGGACTGTGACAGGGAAAAGAAACAGAGAAATTGATTGTTTGACGTGATGTCGTAGACAACACACAGACCGCAAAGGTTAAACAGTGCATTACTTACAAACGGCGGCTTAAAAGTCTGTTCTCCTTGAAAATGACTTTAAGCTACTTAGCTTAGCATTAGCTGCAAATTGAATAAATAGATTTAAATTATTAATAATAATAATTACAATTTTCTCACTTTTTTGAAAGAGATATTAACAGTTTTTTTATTTAATTAAAATAAAGGACTAAATGCATTTTTTATAGAAAATCATGTTGGAATGGATGTATTTATATTTTCCCTTATTCAAGAAAAAAACGTCTACACTCATCTATATGGAAAATACTAATTTTGGCAAGTGTGTCTGTTACTAAACTGTGTGTGTGTGTATGTGTGTGTGTACTGTCATTGTGGTTAACTGGACATGCCGGTGCGTTTGGAACCCCCAGCTTGCCTTCTACGGTTGCGTTCTGCTCAGCTAGGAACAAATAGCACTGCATCATGTCGTGGCCCCTCATAATGTCAGCCAGCAGTGTATAATTACACAGGAAGCAAAAGACCAAGTGTGTTTACAGGTCCGAGTCTGCCTGCTGTTTATAAAGTCGTTCATCTACAATTACCCTACTTCCTGGTCTAATACCTACTGTACGTCTGTCTATTTCCAGAACAGTTCTATGCAGGCATCACTTATGAGATTAACTTGTCAACTGCCACGTCACGGCGCACCGCACAAGACGTAAGTAAAAACTACGATATGAAAAAGGTCTAAGGGTGCCACCAGCTTTTTCATGATCTATATATTTTTGATTTACTTTTACGTCTTTTCTCTGTCAAATGACATTGCTTGTCACACTTGTGTCTGCCTCACATGTGATCTTTTAGTTTGTGAAGCTATAAATTCAAAAATAAACAACCTAAAAACCAACATGAAATGGTATCGGGCCGCACTCACCCAGCTGTGTGTCAGTTGAGCATGGTTCTGGTAGCGTGGTTATCCTGCTGGTCTGTTCTGTTCTGTTGATCTCCGTGACTGGCTTCTGTTGTCTGTATTCAAAGATCAGAGAGAGGAACGGTTCAACGGGTTTGATCAGCAGTGATCAACAACCTCGACCTAACTGGCTAGCATTAGCATTAACCCAGAATGTTGGTTATCAATGTAATACTGGACAAAGATACCACGTGGTACAGAACAAAAGAAGACCCTAACATTACTGCCAGGTCCAGGGAGATAAACAAGAATCAGCATAATTGCGTTGACAAAAATAGCATCGCTCGAAAACACAAAATTTGATAGGACGGAACAAAAGTAGAACTCTGACTGAAGAGACGTTGCCTGTAATTGGATAATACCATCCTCAGGGGAACACAGAGGGTGAATTACGTTGTTTAAGTATATTTAAGGTATTTTTGTAACAAGGGACAGACATTAATCATGATCTAGACTGCAGAGTCCTCCAGGTTGCTGATGTCTCCTGTTTTCTAAATTTAAAACATAGCTCTGTATAATGATCAACATTTGCCACTAGGTGTCTCACTACTCTAAGATATGGGATTTGTGTGAGGGAGGTTGTCAAGCCATATGAAAATGGTTCATTTTAGCAGACTCCCATAGATCTTTGATTATATTTACCAGAAATCAAACTCATTTTTGTTACCGAAAACTCACCGATAAAAAAAAACCCGATGGTCCTAATACGTTCTTTTTAAAACCACAATTAGGAATGAGCGAGTTTCACAAGATTTCCCACAAACACCACCCTGGCTTCGATGACCGAGCTAAACCCTCAAACAGTGCTGTTTGCTGTGGTAGATTAGAACTCCAATCACACTGAGTGTGTGCTCACATGTTTGCATAGTAAGTGTCACGGTCACAAGGAATGCTGCTCCTTCTGTACAGCGAGACGTGCAAACACCTTCTGGCAACAACCGGTTTCGGCTCATCTGTGGGGGGTTTTTTCCCTCAATTTTGACTGTGAACCGCAAACCTACCTAAACTTGTTGTGTGCATGTGTGCACATATATATAAAAGTTCAAATTGGAAGTTTAAAAAAAAACCAGAGTTGTCTTTAGGGCCTCACAATCATTAACAAGCGTGACAAATTATTTTGGTCAATATTGATGACTGAACACATTCAATTTTTCTTTAAGCCTTTTAAAAATATAGATTTTTACAATATTAACGCATTATACATTATTTTTAATGTATTTACTTTACTTCATGTTATCCTTAATAATAATAAAACAATATTAACACATTATACATTATTTTTTATTAAGAAAGGTACTTCATGTTATCCTTAATAATAATAATAAAATATTTGGCCAGAAATAAATCTGCTCACGTTAGAGCAGCGCCACGTCATACCGACAGATCCTACAGTATACACACATGTAATCACGTATTCAAACTTTACTTCATGAAGTTACGGCAGTAAAGAGACACATCAAGTGCTGATTGGACGGCCGTCGATGTGGTTTCACCTCCTTGTCTTTTCTGTTTCTGCATAACTTTGATCCAAGACACCGTCGGTTTAAACTTAAGGTGCTTCAGGTGATTTTTTATGAATGGTGCGGACGTCACAGCAGTGAACTTTGGTTACCTCGTTGCTGCTACCACTCCTCTGGTGCTCCTACAACTATCATACACCTGAGAGTTTAGCCTTCAGAAAGGGACGAAGGGCACTGTAAGAGTAGAGGTCCGCAAGTTGTCTTAGTGCACATAATTTGTGCTTTTTAATCGGAAAAGAATCGAATAATTCTCGTAATCAGATCATCCAGTTTTGAGTGATCCGTCTTCCTCAGAAGTGTCACTCAGTGTTACTGTGACGTGTTCCTATCAGCTGTTCTTACGAAGGTGTGGTTGCCCTGCCAGAATGGGGGATTTTTACTGTCCCACATTTGGAGTGCCGACTTGGAGACTATCCTTTCAGAGCGCTGTCAAAACAAAGTTATAATATAATTAACTATATCATAACAATAGTCATCTTTGTTGACTACACTGTTATAATTATCCAGGAGTCAAAATCAAAAAAATTAGATGAAGCCCTTGTTTCAGAGAATGGTTAGCACGTCATCCTAGGGAGGGCGCTCTAAGCACAGCTTGACCAGAGATCCATTTTAAATGATGCAGTCAGACAATGCTTTCATTTTCCGGTGGCTTTTCCTCTTTCATTTTCTATCTACATACAATCAGTATTTGTAAAAACTACATACGTGTAAGTGTTCCTGCTATGTTACTATGGCAACCTTAATGTTGTTTTACAAATAAAGGGGAAATACGTGTGTGAGTCATTCCAAATATCTTAGAAAATATCTTATTAGTAGTCATGAGAAAAGAAGTCAGAATCCACGGTATGTTAAAGACACCTCTTTCAGCTGACTCATCACACGCTAGAGCAGGAATTCCCAGAAGTTTTGCCAGGGTCACATTAGTGCATCATGAGAGAACATCAGGTGTATCAGGTGTACCAGTTAGCTACAGGGAAAATTATGCAATGTCCCTTAACTGGTCTGAAAACAAAGTTGACTGCAAATTATTACCCTTTCGTTCTTTCATTAAATGGCAGCAAACTTAAGAGTTTCATGCGTGTCTTTCATCAATTCCTGCCAATATACCACCGTTGTGTTCAGCTAAACAGGCCCTGGTTCCAGTCCAGGTTTACTCACAATTGTGAGTGTGATTTTATATATAGTTTTTCATGACATTTTTAATGTGGACTCAACTGATCGTAACACTGATGTAGAAAATTAAATAGAAAAAAACAGTCCGATTAATATAACTTGTATTGTCGTCTGAATTACGAGTTTACGCTATGATTAGCATGAATAAATACAGAGCCATGTTGGTGATACACAGTTAGGGGCCTCTTTTAATTGGTTGTCTATTCCTCCCTTCAAACATTCACAAGCTGCAGTTCAAACACGAAGGCACCGGCCGCCTCGTTTCTTGGGGCTACAACGTTCGAGAGCAAGTGTCGAACCGTGTGTTGTCATACACACCGGGATATTCGTGCGTGTGACAACACATTCTTCATCCCACGGTGACTCTTTACATTCCTTTCCCGAGTGGCCCAGAAAGCAGGACTCTACTTAGCATGTCCAGCGTCTCTTCACCTCCGACTTAGTTTAAGGTCTGCATGGAAGGAGCTGAATTATTTGCATCACAAATGATTAAATTCTTACAATATACTACAGCCTATAGAATTTTTTTATATTTAATTCTTTTTTTTCATTTCTCATGATCTACTAGCGATCTCCTTGTACATCCTGATCTACCTATCGGGCACCGCTGCTTTTTCAGGTGTGCTTTGCGATTACTGAAAGCTAACAAGTTACAACACAGAATAGGATGATGTGAGGTTTTCCTAGCACCAGCTTTGGCTCAGCAATGTGTGACTTCAACAGCTCTGACAACTCTCTGCCAGCCTCCGCCTGCAGCTCTGCAGTCCTGTCGTTTACACCTAGAAGGAGCTAAAGCCCTGCATCTCAATAAGCTCCAAATGTGTGAGAAAGGACTATACATGTCCCAAGGACGCAGCTGGAATCAGACACAGAACAAAGAAGCAAAACATTTCCCTCTGCACGTAATCCACCGTGCGACCGAAACGAGTCCAGGACCTTCTCTGTGTCAGGTGGACGCACACTGTGTTTAACCGATCTGTAGCTAGGTTTGGTTCACTTAGAAACCGTACCACTGATGCACCACAGTAAAGCAGCTTAAGTGGGTCAACTATTCCGCGTCCTCTCTTTTTTAGTTCAAACAACAAATGGAGGGCAATCGGGATGAACGGTTCGACTAAGTCTATAGTGCAGGTAAATAAAGAGATTACAAAGAAGAAGAATGTCTAAATGTTAGTGATAAAATGGAGGATATAACAAGACATGAAAAAAACAAAATCAAGGTATCGCATTTGAACCATATCGCTCTGAAATGATATGTGATAATTCCAAGGCCAGAGAAAAATACCATGGATGACAGAGTAGACAGCCATCATAATGACACTGATGATGTGGTGATGTGGTCTGATTAGACGAATATTTAACTTTATCACAATAAGTATATTATTATATTATATATTTATTGTCATATATTCCAAAGCATGTTAAAATCAATTGCGAACAGCTACGACTAAACTGACTCTCAGGTAATGTGAACACACCGAGTAACAGCATTGGGCTCGCAAGTCACAACAGTTCAATATGCTATTATCGCTCTGCACGTTTGTTAAGCAGAGACTGGTGGCATATCGTGTGTGTGTGTGTGTGTGTGTGTGTGGGTGGGTGTATGATCTGCTGTTTAGCAGACGTGCCTGAAAGCCTCTTTACACCGTCTAATAACATACAGTACTTCTATAGTGCAGTTTTGGCATCCAACCATCCAACCATCCAACCGACAATCGTTAAGATCTGGAGCAGATGTCACGTTTATAGGATAACTGTGTTAACCTACGTTGGGTAAAGGCCGCGATTAAATCACCCAATTTACATATATATCAACTCCTTGAGTTGAAATGGCACGAAGCTGCAACTTGCAGCGTCAGGCGTGATGAGAGACGGCTCGTCTTTCTCTCTTCCTCTCCCTTCATCTTCATCTTCATCCTTCACAGATCTTTCAGAGTGATAATTAGAGCCCAGGCTTTACAAACAAGCTGCTCAGGTCTGTCTCTCTTTTTCCCACGCCTTGACGTATCGCATAGGCAAAGGTTCGTAGAGCTGGACGTACACTCGAATAAATTGTGTCTGCGTATTAATATTTTATTAATGACTGAAACAGAGAAAATAATTTATGACAAGTCAAGACCACATCGTCTGGGTTTATTTGTTTGGAGTCGGAGTAGAGGACAAAAAACGAGTCGAGATGTTGCAGGTGAGAATGAAGAACCAGGGGGATCTAGCTCCAAGAAGCTACGGTCCAGTAAGGGTTACAGGGATGTTCGACACAACACCAAACTAAAACTATAGACGTCTTACAGAAATAGAGCTTTTACAGAAATCCTCAACCTCTTATCATCATCATCGTTGTACAAAATTATAAGACACCGATC